TCCCGTAGTCTCTCCTCGTAGCTCATACCTCTCAGCTCGGGTACTAGTCTGGTGGCAAACCTTTGAACCTTTTCCAGTTTAGTCTTATCCTTGACTAGATATGGACTCCATGCTGGGGCTGCATACTCCAGGATTGGCCTGACATATGTGGTATACAAAGTTCTGAATGATTCTTTACACAAGTTTCTGAATGCCGTTCGTATGTTGGCCAGCCTGGCATATGCCGCTGATGTTATCCGCTTGATATGTGCTGCAGGAGACAGGTCTGGCGTGATATCAACCCCCAAGTCTTTTTCCTTCTCTGACTCCTGAAGAATTTCCTCTCCCAGATGATACCTTGTATCTGGCCTCCTGCTCCCTACACCTATCTTCATTACATTACATTTGGTTGGGTTAAACTCTAACAACCATTTGTTCGACCATTCCTTCAGCTTGTCTAGGTCTTCTTGAAGCCTCAAACAGTCCTCTTCTGTTTTAATCCTTCTCATAATTTTAGCATCGTCCGCAAACATTGAGAGAAATGAATCGATACCCTCCGGGAGATCATTTACATATATCAGAAACACACACACACACACACATATGTGTGGAGTGGAGGATACCAGGGTAAGTGGAGGACCCCAAGGTAAGTGGAGGACCCCAAGGTAAGTGGAGGACCCCAAGGTAAGTGGAGGACCACTAGGTAAGTGGAGGACCCCAAGGTAAGTGGAGGATACCAGGGTAAGTGGAGGACCCCAAGGTAAGTGGAGGATCACAAGGTAAGTGGAGGACCCCAAGGTAAGTGGAGGATCCCAGGGTAAGTGGAGGACCACTGGGTAAGTGGAGGATCCCAGGGTAAGTGGAGGACCCCAAGGTAAGTGGAGGATCCCAGGGTAAGTGGAGGATCCCAGGGTAAGTGGAGGACCACTGGGTAAGTGGAGGATCCCAAGGTAAGTGGAGGACCCCAGGGTAAGTGGAGGATCCCAGGGTAAGTGGAGGACCACTGGGTAAGTGGAGGATCCCAAGGTAAGTGGAGGACCCCAGGGTAAGTGGAGGACCACAAGGTAAGTGGAGGATCACAAGGTAAGTGGAGGACCCCAAGGTAAGTGGAGGACCCCAAGGTAAGTGGAGGATCCCAAGGTAAGTGGAGGATCCCAGGGTAAGTGGAGGATCCCAGGGTAAGTGGAGGACCCCAAGGTAAGTGGAGGATCCCAGGGTAAGTGGAGGGTCCCAAGGTAAGTGGAGGATCCCAGGGTAAGTGGAGGACCCCAAGGTAAGTGGAGGATCCCAGGGTAAGTGGAGGACCACTGGGTAAGTGGAGGATCCCAGGGTAAGTGGAGGACCCCAAGGTAAGTGGAGGACCCCAAGGTAACTGGAGGACCCCAGGGTAAGTGGAGGACCACTGGGTAAGTGGAGGATCCCAGGGTAAGTGGAGGATCCCAAGGTAAGTGGAGGATCCCAGGGTAAGTGGAGGATTCCAAGGTAAGTGGAGGACCACTGGGTAAGTGGAGGACCACTGGGTAAGTGGAGGATCCCAGGGTAAGTGGAGGACCCCAAGGTAAGTGGAGGACCCCAAGGTAACTGGAGGACCCCAGGGTAAGTGGAGGACCACTGGGTAAGTGGAGGATCCCAGGGTAAGTGGAGGACCCCAGGGTAAGTGGAGGACCCCAGGGTAAGTGGAGGATCCCAGGGTAAGTGGAGGACCCCAGGGTAAGTGGAGGACCACTGGGTAAGTGGAGGATCCCAGGGTAAGTGGAGGACCACTAGGTAAGTGGAGGATCCCAGGGTAAGTGGAGGACCCCAAGGTAAGTGGAGGACCCCAAGGTAAGTGGAGGATCCCAGGGTAAGTGGAGGACCACTGGGTAAGTGGAGGATCCCAGGGTAAGTGGAGGACTACTGGGTAAGTGGAGGATCCCAGGGTAAGTGGAGGACCCCAAGGTAAGTGGAGGACCCCAAGGTAAGTGGAGGACCACTAGGTAAGTGGAGGACCCCAAGGTAAGTGGAGGATACCAGGGTAAGTGGAGGACCCCAAGGTAAGTGGAGGATCTCAGGGTAAGTGGAGGACCCCAAGGTAAGTGGAGGACCCCAAGGTAAGTGGAGGACCACTAGGTAAGTGGAGGACCCCAAGGTAAGTGGAGGATACCAGGGTAAGTGGAGGACCCCAAGGTAAGTGGAGGACCCCAAGGTAAGTGGAGGACCCCAAGGTAAGTGGAGGACCCCAAGGTAAGTGGAGGACCACTAGGTAAGTGGAGGACCCCAAGGTAAGTGGAGGATACCAGGGTAAGTGGAGGACCCCAAGGTAAGTGGAGGATCACAAGGTAAGTGGAGGACCCCAAGGTAAGTGGAGGATCCCAGGGTAAGTGGAGGACCACTGGGTAAGTGGAGGATCCCAAGGTAAGTGGAGGACCCCAGGGTAAGTGGAGGATCCCAGGGTAAGTGGAGGACCCCAAGGTAAGTGGAGGATCCCAGGGTAAGTGGAGGATCCCAGGGTAAGTGGAGGACCACTGGGTAAGTGGAGGATCCCAAGGTAAGTGGAGGACCCCAGGGTAAGTGGAGGATCCCAGGGTAAGTGGAGGACCACTGGGTAAGTGGAGGATCCCAAGGTAAGTGGAGGACCCCAGGGTAAGTGGAGGACCACAAGGTAAGTGGAGGATCACAAGGTAAGTGGAGGACCCCAAGGTAAGTGGAGGACCCCAAGGTAAGTGGAGGATCCCAAGGTAAGTGGAGGATCCCAGGGTAAGTGGAGGATCCCAGGGTAAGTGGAGGACCCCAAGGTAAGTGGAGGATCCCAGGGTAAGTGGAGGATCCCAAGGTAAGTGGGGGATCCCAAGGTAAGTGGAGGACCCCAAGGTAAGTGGAGGATCCCAAGGTAAGTGGAAGACCCCAAGGTAAGTGGAGGACCCCAAGGTAAGTGGAGGACCCCAAGGTAAGTGGAGGACCCCAAGGTAAGTGGAGGACCACTGGGTAAGTGGAGGACCACTGGGTAAGTGGAGGACCACCAGGTAAGTGGAGGACCCCAAGGTAAGTGGAGGACCCCAAGGTAAGTGGAGGACCCCAAGGTAAGTGGAGGACCCCAAGGTAAGTGGAGGACCCCAAGGTAAGTGGAGGACCACTGGGTAAGTGGAGGACCCCAAGGTAAGTGGAGGACCCCAAGGTAAGTGGAGGATCCCAAGGTAAGTGGAGGACCCCAAGGTAAGTGGAGGACCCCAAGGTAAGTGGAGGACCCCAAGGTAAGTGAAGGACCCCAAGGTAAGTGAAGGACCCCAAGGTAAGTAGAGGACCCCAAGGTGTGGAACCTTGGAACCGGTTTTGATCTTGATCTATACAAATAACATCAATATTGTTTAAAGTTACAAATACCTAAATTTGTCGCTAACACTAATCAAAGAAACAAAGTTACAACCCAAGAGAGAGAGAGACCAAAAGTTACAACCCCAAGAGAGAGAGAGACCAAAAGTTACAACCCCAAGAGAGAGAGAGACCAAAAGTTACAACCCCAAGAGAGAGAGAGACCAAAAGTTACAACTCCAAGAGAGAGAGAGACCAAAAGTTACAACCCCAAGAGCCGCGGTACACACCTTAGTAACTTGGCGTAACGAATAGCCGATGAATGATAATGTTGATAAATGTAAAGCACTATACACAGTCAAGGTAAACCCAGAGTGGCGGCTACTGGAGGAAGACGACAGCGTTGATGAAGGTAAACCAAGCCAGGTACCTGGAGGTGGTACTAGTGACCTGGGGCCAGGTAAACATTGCACCGCCTCTTACAAACAGGTTAAGTTGCTCTACTGGTGAAAGGATATTGCCAAATTACAATGTTTTCAACATCGAGCGACACATATTATACCTAGACTTAGAAACACATCCCGATAAAACGCGATACATTTATTTAGTCTTTACAAATATTTCTGGAAATTATAGCTTTACAATTTAAGACAATCGTATCCAGTCAAATACCTTTTCATTATCCTAATAACTCATTCATTTAAAAATAGAATTCATAATTCTATGAATTCTTTATAATTCAATATTTCAATTCAATAATACTTTATAAATCAATAATTCTTTATAATTAAATAATTCAAATCAATAATTCGTAATAATTCAATTAAATAATTCTTTGTTGACCAAACCACACATTAGAAATTGAAGAGACGACAATGTTTCTGACCATTATCATGAGGTGTGAGAGGAGAACGGAAGGTTGTTGTTGCTTTAGATTTAGCTACTCAGAACGAAGTGTCCATGTAGCACGGGCTATGGTGACCCCGTAAAAAGGAAGGTACAAGCAAATAAATATATAAGGTATGAGAGGAAGAAAAGAGGTGAGGAGCAGGTAAGAGAAAGGTTAGTGGACTCCTTATTGTGGCCTTAATAGACCCATAGAAAAAAAAGAGAGGTCACTAGGCCTAAACCCGAACATAAACATCATCCAGCGACACTTCATATAGCATGCTCTCCACAGCCTAATGGGTCAACATGATAACATTAACATATATAAACGTTGCACACAATTTGTGACTTTACATAATATGCAATTAATGTGCTATAGCTACCAACATGTTCCTATTAATATTTTATAAACAAAAAAATATTATTCAAAACGAGTGAAGAATTAAACTCATTAAAAGAACTCAATTTAGTACCAAACAGTTTTGAGAGCGAATACATTACTCAGTGGTAAAGTAACGAGCCAATTTCACACTGATAGTACGAACTAGATTTATTTGCCCGAAACGCTATGCGTATTAGTGGCTTTAGGTATTGTATGTACTACCTCTATTTATTAATCCAACATTATGTTTGTACTCGCCTAATTGTGCTTGTGGGGGTTGAGCTCTGGCTCTTTTGTAACTCTTCATCTATGTATGTACTTTTACCTGAATAAAAATTTGAATTTTTGAATTTGAATTTGGGATGCTGGTGTAACGAAGTGGAGGCGGGAGGTTCCAGGAATAGCGGCGGCGCTGGTGGTGGCAATACCACAAGGCGCCTGACGTCACCATCGCTCCCACCAAAAGCCCGCCGAGTGAATATAAGACCGTCAGTACCACTCTAACCTAACTAGCGACAACAGGATTAACACGCCGCCGCGCTAATTTACGCTTACAGTTACCCGCTAAGGTGGTGTTGATAAGTGTCAGCTGCCCCCGGGAGGATGAACAGGTGTCTGGAGATGTGTCTGGTGGCCATGATGGGCGTGGGGCCCACCTTTATTGTCATCTTGTTGGTCAAGCACTACGGCCCTCTGGCGGTGGGCTGCTCCTTCATCTTCGGCGGAGCCTACCTCATACTCGTCGTGTTCGGCCTCACACTACGCAAGTGTGCCACTCCTCAACGCACTCACCCTGACCAAGAGCAACCCCAGGTGAGCCACTTACACTCACACTTTTCATACTGTTCCACGTTCACTTTCTCTCTCTCTCTCTCTCTCTCTCTCTCTCTCTCTCTCTCTCTCTCTCTCTCTCTCTCTCTCTCTCTCTCTCTCTCTCTCTCTCTCTCTCTCTCTCTCTCTCTCTCTCTCTCTCTCTACGGGCTCACCATAGCCCATGTTACTTGGAACGTTTTGTTCCATATAGCGAATCTTCAACAACAACAACAACTCTCTCCCCGTCTCTCTCCGCATTATGTTAGTTTTAACATGCTATTATGTTCAATATTAGTTGTAAATATGAGTTGAAGGTCCCAGTTGGATGTGAGTTGTGTGTCTTGGGGGACTCTGCTATTGTGTGTTGATAGTCAGGGGGGTGGAGGTCTTGTCCTCCACTCCCGTGGTCCTCAGTGCCTGGCTCCCATGGTGCCAGTCAATCAACTATTATTTACACCTTTATTGTCGTTTACATGATTACATTATTATTATATATATATATATATATATATATATATATATATATATATATATATATATATATATATATATATATATATATAAATCGTGTGCGTGTAAATCACGAAAGTTGACACATGATGAACAATGTGACAGTGTCAGACCACGAAGGATGGATTAAGATAGGAAATTCCTATTTTAATCCATCCTTCCTGGTCTGACACTGTCACATTATATATATAAAGCCTTGATAGGTCTATAGTTGACTTGAATTCACTAGTATCTTTTTTGTGTATGGGCCCTGGTAAGGTTATTCATTCAATGTTATGGTGTGTGTGTGTGTGTGTGTGAGAGTGTGAGAGAGTGTGTGTGTGTGTGTGTGTGTGTGTGTGTGTGTGTGTGTGTGTGTGTGTGTGTGTGTGTGTGTGAGAGTGTGAGAGTGTGTGTGTGTGTGAGAGTGTGAGAGTGTGTGTGTGTGTGTGTGTGTGTGTGTGTGTGTGTGTGTGTGTGTGTGTGTGTGAGAGTGTGAGAGTGTGTGTGTGTGTGAGAGTGTGAGAGTGTGTGTGTGTGTGTGTGTGTGTGTGTGTGTGTGTGTGTGTGTGAGAGTGTGAGAGTGTGTGTGTGTGTGTGTGTGTGTGTGTGTGTGTGTGTGTGTGTGTGTGTGTGTGTGTGAGAGTGTGAGAGTGTGTGTGTGTGTGAGAGTGTGAGAGTGTGTGTGTGTGTGTGTGTGTGTGTGTGTGTGTGTGTGTGTGTGTGTGTGAGAGTGTGAGAGTGTGTGTGTGTGTGAGAGTGTGAGAGTGTGTGTGTGTGTGTGTGTGTGTGTGTGTGTGTGTGTGTGTGTGTGTGTGTGTGTGTGTGTGTGTGTGTGAGAGTGTGAGAGTGTGTGTGTGAGAGTGTGTGTGTGTGTGAGAGTGTGTGTGTGTGTGAGAGTGTGAGAGTGTGTGTGTGTGTGTGTGTGTGTGTGTGTGTGTGTGTGTGTGTGTGTGTGTGAGAGTGTGAGAGTGTGTGTGTGTGTGTGTGTGTGTGTGTGTGTGTGTGTGTGTGTGTGTGTGTGTGTGTGTGTGTGTGTGTGTGTGTGTGAGTGAGTGTGAGAGTGTGTGTGTGTGTGTGTGTGTGTGTGTGTGTGTGTGTGTGTGAGTGTGTGTGTGTGTAGTGACAACACTAGGACCTGCTTCCCATATGTACTTATTAAGAGAATATGTTGACCATGTGAGCCTTCACACACACACACACACACACACACACACACACACACACACACACACACACACACACACACACACACACACACACACAGACTGACGCCAAGCACCACACATTCACCATCCTACCCTTGTTCTTAATCAATAGATAACAACACCATTATGTGTACAACATGCTTAATTTGTCGTTGCAGAATGATCAGGATTCTCCGCCATCCTACGAGGCTGTGATGGCCAAACCTCCTCCATACACACTAATTTACGCCCACACCCCGGCCCCTGTGGGCGGCCCGGTGGGCGGTACACCCTCTAGCGACGCCCTCTATCAGGACAAGAGGCAGCTAGAGTCCTGCACCTGGAGGGAGGTGGAGGGTGAGTCTGCACCGCCCTCGTATTTCGAAGCTGTCAGACCCGGTTCCTGGAGGTGTGTCACGCTTATATGTCCTCCTGGTGGCCTATCTGCCGCCCACTCTCCCAGCGAGGTGACAC